TGGTCCCATACATTACACTACAGTGGAAATTTACCCCTTTACATTGGAGGTACATTATCGCTTTCTTTAGCTGCCTTTACGTGCACAAAATCATTAAATCATTATGCCTAAAACTTTTTCATTTCCCATTTTCCATATTGGCTATACACACAAGTTTTTTCCATAATATCACACAGGTTGTTTGCTTGGTCATGATGATTAAAAATGAATGACAGGCCAAACACAACTCCTGTTGGTCAAGATAGGAAAACTTTGACCTTCAAAGCTTTGCTCTAACAAGGACGTTTTTCAGAGATCTCCCTTTTCTGTATGAAAGCAGGGGAGGGTCTTTATGGATCTCCCTCAGCAGAGGCTGATTTTGTATCAAATGCCATTTACTCATAAGAATGGTTTTAAGATTAGGCACAGATGGGCGATATTCTGTAACAAACAGCAAAATTCTTTTGCACACTTTTTGTTTATTTTGTAGAGCCAACATTCTTTCGCTAAATTTTATTTCTGAGAGAGTGTTTTCTTAAAGGTTATCTGGATAACCTTTGTTGCATAATCTGCATTTGAATTGTGTAATGTTTTCTTCAAATGTAGCTTTTGAAGAGTTGGTTCTCAGAAGTCTTACAGTTTCGCCTTTGATAAAGCCTCTCCTGATGCTTGGAGTGTGGCAGGAGGTGACATGTGCGTATTGGAAAGTTTCTATTGGTTTCAAGTGCGTGCGCAAGTCAAGAATGGATTCCTTGTTAAATCTTTCGACCTTAAAGACACACATATCCAGGAAAGTTATTTCTGTATCTGAAATTTCAGCCATTAATTTTATGGTCCAATGATAGCTACTTGCTAGCTCTACAAACGTGTTTATTTCCTCTTTGTTTACGTTCCATTGAGAAAAGACATCATCAATACATCTTTTCCAAGTGAGTGGCTTTAAGTGGCTGCAGTTAATGATTTCTGTTTCTACCGTGGCCATGAAAATGTTGGCAAAAGAGACTGGCATTTCTGTACCCATTGCAGTACCGCATGTTTGAAGATAATTTTTGCCATTAAAATGGAAAGAGTTTTCTTTTAAGATAAGCCTAAGCATGTCTCTGAGGTAGAGGGTAGGTATGGGAGGTTTGTTTAGGTGGAATGTTTCGTATGTTTTACATACAATGGTGATTCCTTCCTCCTGTGGGATGTTAGTATATAGGCTTGTACAGAAAACTGTATAGAAAACCGTATAGGTATATAAAAAACTGGAATTCATGGTGGATTTGGCGTTAGGGATAGCCATTTCTCTGTCATTTCATCAATATGGTTACCACAGTAGAGTGCTATAATGAGTTTTTTGACTTTTTGAGATGTTTCCGTTACCATTGGTACCACTAAGGACTCGGAGTTTTCTCTTTGGTCCAGTAGTACCTGTCTTTCTCATGTTTTGTCTTCTTTATTCAAAATAACAGTTCTGGTCACTTTATCTGCCTTTCTAACATTTATATTTGTGTTTTTTTCAAGCTCTTTAAGGTGGCCGAACACAGTTTTCAAGTACCTATGCCTAATTACCATTACTTTTAAACTATTTATGCTTTGGCACCCATTTTTTGCAAGAGTCAAAGTTAACCCCAGAAGGGTTTATTCTCACATTTTGGCTAACGTGTGTGCTGTTGCCATGGCAATGGGGCTGGTTAAAACAAGGCTTAAAAATGGTTTTTGTTTATTGAAAAAAAATCCAGTCATTAGATTTTTTCATCATTTGCCCACTACGAATTGACATTAAATCCCTTCTGTCAACACTGTTTTAATAAAAAGTTTGACGTAGACGATTTTCATAATTTGCCAAAAATTGTTTTCACTGCATGTTCTGCATTATTAAAAATTCCTTATGTCAAAATTAAGATTTTATGTGATAGATCATTCACATGGTTTGTGAGCTATTTTTTTGCCAAATTTCTTGAAATTGTAATGACTGGATCGTTAGAATTCGGCAAATTTCTGCAAAAGCAATCAGTCTCAATTTTTCGAGCAACTGCGCATGCGCTGCATTTAACTGGGTTCTTTCAGTAACAAAGAAAAAGCCGAGAACCGCTGGGTTCTTTGCATCATTACCTTTTCTAATATATTTTTGTAATAAAAGAGTAAAGCCATCAATACACTGCGTTCAAACATAGAGAAAAATTGCACAGATAGTGCGAATGTTAAGTAAATAAAATGATCGCTGCATCGCTCTATTGACCGCATATTTGTTTTTTCCGATGCTTGTGTGCACACTGAATTGCATCAGCAAAAGCGCGTGCGAAAACTGTGTTCAGACACTCCCCATGAGGCAAGTTGTTTTTTGGCTCAAATATTTTGACCTCCACCAGTTGTGTTATGACCTCTTCTAAATATGTTTCTAGTGCAACAGAGGGTTGAATTGGCGGCACCCAGCTGGATTTCACGTGGAAGGGGTGTGGCTCTTTGTTCTGGCCAGGAAACATAAACTGTAGAGACATTCACCTTGCGAACACTTTGAAATCATTTAAAAGTTGTAGCCTTATGTGACTTTCATTTGTCACTGGTGTGGGAATAAATTTGACACCCCTTGACAATAGGTAAAAATTTGGTCGCGTGTCAGTTCGGAATCTGAGAGGTTTTTGATGTATCATTTCTGTGATTCCAGTGTTTTCTGATCAATATCGTGTCTGAGCTTTTTTCTCCGTTCGTTGCGTTTCTTGGTGCAAATGGCATGCTTTGGAACCCTTTTCCTGATAGTATGATCTGTAGGCATAAATGAAACATCGGGATAAGATTCACTCTCTTTATTCTGTTCTTTCTGAACGTTTAAAATCATTTGTTTGAGTTCGTCCATTCTTTTCTGGACATTTTCAATTCTTTCTTCATGTCTGTTTACATTGACTCTCGGTTCATGGACCGTGCCATGTGCCTTATTCTTAGTTAGCTTTTCATCATTGCTTTTACGCTGTTCTAGCTGTGTAATCCTGTGGAGTTTGATTTTGTTCTGCTCTACTCGCCTGTAGTGAAACTTAATGAGAACATCTAAATACTCCATTCTTTCTGATTAAGGCAATGTCTCGTTTGAATTCTTCATCGGGCGAAATATTTGCCCTTGTGTCGCAACACAAAGTTTTTGGGCAAGTTCCTTTAACAGAATGTGCTTTCCGCTTAGAGATGGACTCTTCGGACTTTCTGATCTTCTCCTTAACATTCTCTGCGTTTTCTTGTTGAAATCGGCGGGCTCTTTTCTTTGGTGGGTGCTCATAACTGCCACGCAGGGTGTCACAATGGCACTTATTAGGCGATTTGGGCGGTTGTTCATCTTGGCACTCTTTTGGTTTGTCCATTGACCATTGGATTTGAGCACTAGGAAATTCATCTTCTGAGTTCAGCAGCAAGTCGTCAGGATAGGCAGTAGAGTCTTCTGTATACAATGATGCAGCTTTAGAACGTACCTGTGCCTAATCTTAAAAAAATTCTTCTCAAAGCTTTGAAGGTCAAAGTTTTCCTATCTTGACTAATAGGACTCGTGTTTGGCCTGTCATTCATTTTTATCATCAAATTAAAATGATTAATTACGTAAGTAAAAAAAGTATTTGTACATAAAACAAAGAAATGAAGCACAAAAAACATGGCAGGGAGAAGGTATGAAATCCTTCTGCGCTAAAGTTGTCACGTATATAGTGTAGCGTAAAACAGTAGAAGCGCATACTTAGAGTACAATAGCAGAGGCGTAGAGGCGTAGAGGCGTAGCGTAAAGTGGCATAGCATAAAACAGTAGAAGCACATACTTAGAGTACAATAGCAAAGGCGTAAAGGCAGATAGGCGTAGAGGCATAGAGGTGCAGAGGCATAGAGAAGGTGTAGCATAAAAAAGTAGAAGTGCACAGTTTAGAGTAAAACAGCAGATACTGGTGCGATGCTCTACCAACTGGGCTATGAAGCCACACATTGGGAGCAGGTCAATTGATTGAGTTCATATCTTCCCGTAAGGAATGAAATGATGTGAAGTATATATGAAATAATTTATATTTGAACTGCGGTTGTAGATAAAAGTGAAGAATGATCATCGCAGTAAATTTTCCAATTTAAGCAATT